CCCTGATTTACATAATACATATACGAGACCTTCTCCTGACAACCGTGTACATATAGAATTATTTTGCAGTTTACATTTATTTTTACAACTTTCTTCAATTAACATGTTACTGTGAGCATTTAAACAAGTGTAGGCTTCATACACACATATATATTTAGCTCCAATGAAGAGGACTCGTGTAATTTTCGCACCAAACTATATTGAGAAGGACGTCGATCTCGATTTGTCGAATGCGCGTTCGAATCCATCGGGGAGGGCGCAGTAACACACACAGGCCGGGAAGCTTTTGATCAGCGAGATCCTAAATGAAAATTCGTAATTTATCAAAGTATATTACCCCCGCTTTGCGACTAAAGAAATAAGCAATATAATATCCTACGTGTGGTTATATTAATTATCATTAATAGCAATCTTAATATTTGCGATCTGACAGTGCATTTCCTTCACATCCTGCACGTGGCAAAAAGTCTGATTGGCGATGACCTCGATGATGCTTGGCGTGTGCATGTTTCAATCAGTTGCAAGAATAACTGAGAAATCATCAGTTCAATTATTAGTGTTCATTGATGACGTCACTGACTGGCCCTCTAGAGGCAAAATAACGCCATGCAAAGTGGACGTTTGTCGTCTACTTCACATCCCGCTTTATACTCGCAGCACATACAAGTTGTTTTATCGCCAGAATTTGTTCATAGATCTCAAATTTCATGTACGGAGTGACAAAAACCAGACCTCTGTTCCCGTTTAAATGAATTAAGGACACGTGCTTACTTCTTCTACAGCTAGTTGGTCAAATAACAAATGGTTACAGAGATACAAGCACTGAAAGAACAAAAAATAATAAGAAAATGCTAAACATAGACACGTGTCTATGGTCTATGAGCTGACCAACTAGAATGATGCATTTTTATTAATTGTTATTTTATATAACCTGTCTGGTTTTATCGTTGTTTATTGTTTATTATTTATTTTTTATGACGAGCTGACCAACCAGAATGCTGCATTTGGATACAGAGATACAAGCACTGAAAGAACAAAAAATAATAAGAAAATGCTAAACATAGACACGTGTCTATGGTCTATGAGCTGACCAACCAGAATGCTGCATTTTTATTAATTGCCATTATATATAACCTGTCTGGTTTTATCGTTGTTATTTGTTTATTATTTATTTATTATGACGAGCTGCTTGGGACATAAGCACCCTCTTATAATTATTTCTATATTTGATATTCAACGTATATATATGTATATCACTTATAGCAAGCTTTGGGACTGGGGGGTCTGTAAAAGTACAGAATAATTTCATGTACACTCAATTTAGAAAAGAGTAGTTATATTTATGAGAATAAAACAACCTAGATATTTAATTCATTCTTCCATGTGAAAAGGTCGCATTAAGCCATCAGTCAGGTCTCTTCCTCTTTAGGCCCTACTTGATTACAATAACCAAGCCATGGGTATAATTGGTAGCAACAACACAATTTATATGTAATGAAACCGTATTCTCTATGAGGGAAATTGCATATCATTTTAAAACCATGGTAAACGTTTTCTGTTTTG